GAGAGAGAGAGAGAGAGAGGCTTAAAGGGCAGGGAGAAAGTGTCCAAGAGTTTGCAATAATCGTTCGGCGGCTCCGATTGGATATTTTGTGTGTGTGTTTGTGTGTGTGTGTGTGTGAGTCTGTGTGTGTGTGTCTGTGTGTGTGTGTGTGCATATATGTATGAAAAACATGTACATTTGTCAGATAGGAAAGAGGCTAGGTGCTTCGAGCCTGTATGTGTGTGTGTCTGTGTGTGTGTTGGGGAAGGGGGGGGGGAGCGTGGCCGAGTATTTATTTTTATGAATGGTCGCCCCTTTCATTGGTCGCTGGGGAGTGGCTGACAGGGCTGTGATTGGCAGGAAGTGGCTGTATCAACCCCGCGCGCTCCCTCTCCCTCCCCTTTTGCTGCTGCTGCTTTTTTTTTTTTCCTTCCCCCCTCTGGGTGATTCCTGGAAGTGTGAGGGACTGTTGGTAAGAAGGAGGGGAATGCGAGTTGGTTCCCGCCTCCGCCTATCTCTGCAGTGGAAGACGGGTTGGGTAAGGTGATCGGGCCTTTGGAGGGAGATCCCCCGCTCGCCTGAAGCGGCACACCTTTCCTTTTTAACCCTCTCGGTGCAACGAGGAGGGGGGCGTAAAAAAAGGTTGAGGAAGCGACCAATGGCAAGCTGCCCTCTCCCCTCCCCCCCCATTCACTCTTAATTCGCCGACTGTGGGATGAGACGTGCGAGCAAAGGGGGAGGGGGTTTGCCTTGGTCTGTATTGAGCGCATGGGTGTATGCGGTGCATTTGTGTGACTCGGGCCTCCCTCGGCCCGCATTTGCACGGTGTGAATGCGGGCAGTTTGGATCGGTGCACGAAAGGAGCACTTCGCGTGCGTGGATTCTCCGTGGAGAGAGATCCGTGGCTTTTGGCTTTGTTGAAGACCCAGCTGTGCAACTGAAGGGCTTAATTCGAAGATCGCTTTTTGCACACGATGTGTCGGGGCCAGATTCACACAACATGCTAAGCTAAACCTTGAATCCGGGTTATTTATATGCCATAGCCTGTGTTACAACTTAATGGAATCAATCGCCTGGTTCACAACCCGGTGACCATAGCTGAGAACTACACTATCAAGTTGTGCTAACTAATCAGGATGTGTTTTTGGACAAAGCTTGCCTGCCCCATCTTGAATATAGAATAGAATAGAATAGAATAGAATAGAATAGAATAGAATAGAATTCTTAATTGGCCAAGTGTGGTTGGACACACAAGGAATTTGTCTTTGGGGCACATGCTCTCAATGTACATAAAAGAAAAAATATATTCATCAAGAATCATAAGATACAATGCTTAGTGATAGTCAAGGTTACTAATAAGCTATCAAATCATACTAGGAAACAAATAAAAATAATATAAATTGAAAGATACAAGCAACATGGAAATAGTCATAAGTGGGAAGAGATAGGTACTAGGAAGGAAGAGAAGAATAATAGTAATAATAATGTATTATGGAGATAATACATTGATTTTCTACCCTGAAGCTGCTGTAAGAGTTAGAATAAACTGAACATGAAGTGCTTTGAATATTTACTAGAACTAACATGCAAATGTGTTTGATTATTACTACTATCACTCCCAGTATTACTGTTACTTTGCAGTGTGACAGGGTAGTTAGAGAGCTGGGTGAATGTTTGATTCAAATATTTGACGTTATAGGGGTAGACACAGTAAGAGCTTGACAACATGGTGGAGTGCTTGGCTAAATCTTGGGAGATCTGAGTTACACACACACACACACTCTCCCTCTCCCTCCCTCTCCCTCCCTCCATCCTGTGAAAGTAAAGATAAATCCCAGCTTGAATTGCTTGAAAAAGACAGGTGGGAAAAGCATAATAAACAATTTGCAAACTCACTCCTGAGTCCACCCACACCAGCTTCTTTTTATGGCTTTAGGCTATTTCAGTCCACTCTGATGACCCTTTGAAAAGTAAAGAGAGGCTAAAATCAATGCACTTGAATAGGAGAAAGTGTGTGTGTGTATGTGTGTGTGTGTGTGTGTGTGTTACATCTGCGCACCTGAAGCAAAATGAAGAGGACAATGCTCAAACGGGAGCTTTTGAAAACAGCACAAATAATACGGGGAAATCCAAGATAGGGGGAGTATTTTGGAGTAGCTGCAGGATTAAAAGCTTTGCCCAAGCTCAACAGATGGCTAATCAACTTTCCTGCAAAAGGCGGGTGGGGGAGGGAGGCTTCTGCACTTTGAGATCTATGGAGAACAGATTGAAATTGCCTGCCTAAACATTTTCCCTTTTATATTATGAATTTGCATGTTAGTTTTGAAGAGCCGTTGTGCCCTTTGGCTGAGGGGCTGGACTAGAAGCAGGGAGAGCTGAGTTCCTATCTTGCCATATCTAGGCATGAGTAAGCATGAATTACATGAATTTTGATCAGCCATTCTCTCTCCGTCACAGAGGGGGGGAAAGACAATGGCAAAACTCTTCCAAAAATACAGGTGGTCCTCAACTTACGACCACAATTGAGCCCAGAATTTATGTTGCTAAACAAGAGAGCTGTTAAATGAGTTTTGCCCCCATTTTACAACCTTCCTTGCCATAGTTGTTAAGTGAATCACTGCAGTTGTCAAGTTAGGAAAGCGGCTGTGAAGTGAACCTGGTTTCCCCACTGACTTTGCTCATCAGAAAGTCACGAAAAGTTATCCCATGACCCTGGGACACTGCAACCATCATGAATGCATGCCAGTTGCCAAGTGGCCAAGCTTTGATCACATGGCTGTAGGTGCTTCCATGGTTGCAAGGGTGAAAACTGATCTTAAGTCACTTTTTTTTCAGGGCTGCAATTTCAAAAGGTCACTGAACAAATGGTTGTAATTTGAGGACTACCTGTATTGCTAAGATAATGTTTCTATGCAATTCCCAGGAGTGAAGACTGACTCAAAGGTACCAACACAGAAATCCTCGTAGAAGCTGTACTGAAATGTTTTTAGAAAACACCTTCAAAAATCAAATCAGTACATATGTTTGAAGAATCTCGTCGCCAGGAAAAGCATACCTGTTTCCCTGAAAATAACATCTCCCCGGATAATAAACCCAATTGGGCTTTTGAGCATGTGTGCTAAAATAAGCCCTTCCCTGAAAATAAGCCCTCGCCTAAAATATTGCAACACAGCAGTAGCCGTGAGGTGACCACAGTTGCCAACTCCTGCACCTCAAAAATAATAAGACCTCCCCGAAAATAAGGCCAAGCAAGAAAATAAGACCTTGCCTTATTTTTGGGGAAACACAGTACTTATGCATACAACCCAGTTGGGAACAAGAATTTCCATTGCTGACCGAGGCAGTTATTAAGTGAGTCATGTTCACTTTTACCAATGTTAAGTGAATCACTGCAGTTATTAAGTGAATCCTATGGCCATTAAGCAAATCTGGGTTCCCCTAATGACTTTGCTTGCTAGAAGCCATTTTAGAAGATCATAGGACCCTGGGATGCTTACAGCCATTGTTAAAATGGTTGCCAAGCACCCGGATTTTGATCACATGACCATGGGGAAGTTGCAACGGTCATAAGCATGAGGACCAGTCATAAGTCACTTTTTTAGTGTTGTAACTTCAAATGATTGCTAAATGAATGGTTGTAAGTCGAGGATTACTTGTATTTCTTTTGTATATCAATACATTTGTTTATGAGTATGGAAACATATATTATGAATATAGCAAACATATAGAGGTGTGCTTGGGAAAAGCCAAGTTAATATGTGTTTTGTTCAGAGTAATACTATATGCCTTTGTGTACTTTGAATAACTAATGCAATTTATGTATGACTATCAAAGAGATACGTACATACCAGGACTTCCATATAGCATATAGATATAAATTATATATGACATATGAATTTCCCAACCTGGTAACAATGCCTAACCATCTCTGCTTAGTTTGGTAAAACAGAGGAGTTGGACAAGATTGACATTTGAATGAAGGATCCGTCCATCCATCCATCCATCCACCCACCCACCTACCCACCCACCCACCTACCTCTATCAGTTTCTTCCTCTATTACCTCTCTCTCTTCCTCCCTCCATATCTCTCCCTCCCTCCCTCCATCTCTCCCTCTCTCTTTCCCTCTGTCTGTCTGTCTGACTTTCTGTTTGTCTATCTATCAAACTTATATGGCTTCATGTCTCACAGAAAGTCGGTCTGGGTGACATACAACAGTAAACATTTTACATACAACAGTACATTTAACTATAATCCAGTAAAACAGTAAATAAATAAGACAATCATTAGTGAAAATCATTACATAATATTATTTTCAAAAATTAAAAATGATAAAAGCAAAGTTACAATAGGGAGAGAGAATAATAGATGGATGTTAATAATAAGGGAGCCACCTCATGAGTTCTCCCATCCCCTGGGATTTCCAGGACAGCTGGCATAGCAATAGCAATAGCTCTTAGACTTATATACTGCTTTACAATGCTTTACAGCCCTCTCTAAGCGGTTTGCAGAGTCAGCATGTTTCCCCCAACAATCTGGGTCCTCATTTTACCCTTCTTGGAAGGATGGAAGGCTGAGTCAGCTTTGAGCCTGGTGAGATTTGAACTGCCAAATTGCAGTCAGCCAGCAGTCAGCAGAAGTAGCCTGCAATACTACACTCTAACCACTGCGCCACCACGGCTCATAACCA